AAAAGATGGGTTCACCATTTTTAATCCAAAAGGTAGTCAGACTAACATGTGCCGCCATTTCTCAATCTAAAACCCTAAACCCTTTGTGGTGTTCCTTTCAGAGCAATAACAAAAAAAGGGTTTTACTTTTTAAATAAAAATACCCTAAAAGGTTTTTTTAAGTAAAGATTGTGTTTACTTACAGGAGGAGGGTTCATCTTGGAGACTTCTACATAGTGTTCTTTCAGATACCGAAGCAACAGTGTGTCCACAGAGGCGGATTTGCTTGTTGGTGGTGATGACAAGCATCTCTTACTTGCTATCATTCTCCATGGCTGCCTCACGGTAGCTTCTCTTAACACACTCTTCCACATTTTTCTTTCACTTCCTTTCAAATCAGAGCAAATATCAAAGCTTTGTATTTCCTTGAGTAGAACAAAACAGAGAAAAAAAGAAGAAAGAAAGAGGATCGTAACCCGACACCTTTTACCCATTTTTGCTTAGATAGTGGGCTTGTGAGGATTCAATTAGAGAGGGCAATTTAGTCCAGCCCAGTAGGTAAGCGATCTTATTTTGCCTACAAAGGCAATTCTTTTTCAGCATGGCCCAGCCGTTGGATCTATCTGGGCTCCTATCAACTCGGGACTTAGCCCATGATGCTGAGTTAAAAAAAAATCAAGTGGAATTATTACATGTTAGATTCGCAACCGTGTCCAGGGTATCCTTTTTTATTTTTTAATTAAAAAATAATTAAAACAAGATTATTTTAGACCTTTTTATTTGCTAGAAAATAATTTTTTTAAAGTAAATTTTAAAAAAATAAATTATTTTATCATTTTTATAATGCAATGAAAAATAAGTTGAAAAACACTTTTTAATATTTGATTATGTCATGAAAAATAAACTAAAAAATAATTTATTAATATTTTATTTTTTTAAGTTTATTAAAATAATAAAAAATAAATCATAAAAATTAAAAAGCTAAATAAAAACTAAATTGAAAAAAATATATAATTTTATAAATTATTTCAAATAGAATAAATAATAATCAATCAAATCTAAAAAATAAAACAAAATAAAAGATGAAGAAATTAAAATAATAATAATTAATATTTCATAAATTATTTCAAATAAAATAAATAAAAATCAAAATATTTTGAATAAAGACCAAATTTAATAGATAAAAAATTTTAATAAAAAAATAATAAGAAAAAATAAATAACAATTATAAAAATAAATATCAAAGTTAATATAAAAATTAAAATTTAAAAGATGAAATTGAAAAATAAATATTAAAAATAAAATATATATAGCAATCAAAAGTTTGAGGATTAAATTTAATATAATCAATAAATAATATGACTTCTTAAAACTTTTCAGAAAGCATTTTTTATCTTAATTTTTTAAAAAAATACTTTTCTGAAAATTAAATAAAATTTTTATTTAACTAGAAATTATTTTTTTATCAATTGTTTTAATAAAAAACAAGCATAAAAAAATTTAAAAAATTATTTTTTAAAAAATAAACATAATTTAACCAAACTCGATTTTATACGACCCCAACCCGAATCGACGATTGACACCAAACATGCAGGCATCCCTAGATGTAATAGGGCTTAAGCTCAATAGGCCATGGCCCGTAAAGAAAACTTGGTGTCTTTTTCAAGGGCTAGCATCAACTGTCACTGGTTGGCTCCCAATCCCGTGTCTCTCCGGTCACTCATAAATCGATCTTTAAAAGGAAGAGAAAGAAGCAAGGTACAGTAAACCAAGATATTATGTTACGATACAACGTTATTTCACTGAAAAAAGATGTATTGAACAGTTGCTAATTTGTGTTTTTTGTGTTTCTGTTTGGATTTTGCTATGCACAGAGAGAGAATCTTGAAAGAATGAAACGGCAGCCACCGCCGGCGTACGGGGATGGGAGTATGAATCCATTTGGAGGAGGGAGTGGACAGAGAATGAGAGGAAATACAGGGACAATGAGTAATAGTTATGGAGGAGGAGGAGGAAGGCAAGAGGGGTATTCTAATGTGGAGGCAGAGCAGCATCCTGGGTATAAATCTTCGAAAGCTGAAGGGCAGTGGCAGTGGGAAAGAGAGTCGCGGAATGTTCACAATCAATTGCCGCCTCATGGTTTCAGTGAAGGTGAGTGATTTTTTTGTTTTTTCATGATGTTCTTGTGTTTGATTGGTGATTAAAGTACATGAGTGAATGTAATTTCTTGGTTAGAAGTTAAGGTTGTTCTGGGTTTTGTCAAGGTAGTGAATTTGAGTGGAAGATGAAGGGAAGGTGTGAATTTCTCGACAATACAGGAATTAATGTTAAGCTACTTCAGGTATCAAATTATGGTCAAAGTTGTTAATGTTAACAATTGAAAAGTGAAGGAATTGGTATGTGGAACTGGTGAAAGTGTCTGTGTTTGTCCGTTTTGAAGTGGTTGATACCGTGACCCTCTCGGGCGTAGCATGGTTCTATCAAAGAAAGCTATGAACTTTTTGACAATGCAAGCTGCGTTGATAACTTGATGTGTTAGGATTAATACCAACCCATTGAAGTTTGGATATTGGTCTGGCGGCACTGAAGCTTTTAAGGTTTAGAATCAGAAGGTGGAGACTGATATTTGTATGTAATTTGAATGCTACATGCGTGAACAAGCTTTTGGTTGCATGTTTAATAACCATGGGAATTTTGTTTTTTTCTGGGAGAAAAAGAATGTAGTGTTTGGTTTTTATGAATGTCTGTTCATATTTGTATTGTTTTTCTAGGTCAAGGGGGTAACGGAGCAAGATCTTACTACCATGGACTGCCACCTGATCCTAAAAGTGGTTTAGAAAATCAATCCAACAAGGAAGCTAGTAGAATCCAGCCTCATGAACAAGATATGGAACTTGGATTTGAGGACAATTCATTGCCAATGTCTTTTGAAGGTGTTGAAAGGAAGTTCTTTGATGAAGTAATGACTTTGGCAAAGGAGCAAAGTGATGCAGAGGATGTGGAAAATGCTAGGCATAGGGAGGTGAGGCTTGCTATGAAGCAAATTTCCCGATTATTTGCTCTTGCTTTTCCTTTGTAACTATGACTATTACAGATTTTAAATATAGGCCGTTAAAGGGAGGGATTTTTTCAGATATTTTTCGCTTGCATGACTGGAGAAATTGAATTGTTATTCAAGCAAAGTAATTTATAAAGAGTTATTGTTAGCTAGCATGCTATATACTTTTAACTTTCTTGTTATGAACGGTTTTGAAATCTTGCCTCCCTTTGCTTTCTAACTAATCGGTGCCTGATAGCTTTCGCTTTTGTTGTATTTCTTGCTCAACCTATCCAAGTTTTTTATTATTATTATTATAGATTAGCCGAATGATAACCATTCAATGTGTTTGCTGCTTCAGAAAATAATTGAGATCAATACCAGATACCAGGAGAAACTTTCTGCACTTCGAGTTCAACAAGCCAATAGAAGAGAAGAGTTTCTTCGTAGGGAATCACAAGCTCGATTAAGTCAGTACCAGCAATCGAGCATGGGCCAGTACCCAATCACAGGTTTGCAGGATACCCGTGGCTATAGTGTTGCAGCTGCTGCAGGATCCACCGGTGGCGGAGAAACACATAGGATTTATGCCAGTAGTCAGTTTGAGTCCAACCGTGAACGACCTCAGTATGGTGCCGGTGGAAGAGCTCAAGGAAATGAGGGCAGGGTTCCTTACCCCGAGGGCCGTGTTTACAATAATGCCGGAACCAGATATTACTAGTGATCAAACCGAAGCTCTTCGCAAGGTTGGCTACATCTGTAAAAAACAAAATGAGTTTAATTCTGATCGTTCCCTTTTTCTTCTCTTCTGTTACTAAATCTTGTTGCTGCATTGATTTTTGTTTAGTAATGTAGGATTGCTAATCTTCCTACTTCAAAGGGATTTATAGTGCTTAGCATTTTGTGCTTGTCGTTTTACACCACCAAAATCCCTGCCTGCCATTAGTTTTATTTGTATCATTTTTTAGACTTGATGGCGCCAATCCTGAATCTTTCATTGTATATCAAAGCAAAAGATTGGATGTGTTTTAGGTTTTGTTTTTTTTTTTAAGTAAAGTTCAGAAAAAATAAATTATTTTTTTATGTTTGATAATATTATAAAAAATGAATTGAAAAATATTTTTTAGTATTTGGTTATGTAATGAAAAATAAACTGGAAAATAACTTATTAATATTTTATTTTTTTCAAGTTTATTAACATAATGAAGAACAGATTTTACAAATTAAAAAATTAAATGAGAATAAAATTAAAAAATATATAATTTTATAAATTATATTAAATATAATAAATAATAATCAAAATAATAAAGATTAAATTTAAAAAAAATGAAAAAATTAAAATAATAATAATTAACATTTCATAAAATATTTCAAATAAAATAAGTAACAATAAAAAAAAATAAGGATCAAATTGGATAAATAAAAAATTTTAATAAAAAAATAATAAGAAAAACAAATAAAAATTATAAAAATAAAGATCAAAGTTAATATAAAAATTAAATTTTAAGGAATAAAATTGAAAAATAAATATTCAAAACAAAATATATATGACAATCAAAAGTTTGAGAATCAAATTTGATATAATCAATAAATAATGATATTTTTAAATTTTTCACAACTTTTAGAAACTAAAAAATATTTTCGTTGACTAGAATATTTTTTGTTAACCAACTTTTCCAATAATAAATAAATTTAAAAAAATTTAAAAAATAATTTTCTAAAAACTACTTCATAAAAAAACAAACATAATCTTCCAACAATTTTTTAACGAATTTCTAAGATTTTAATAGAACAAAAGTGGTCCATCCATTCTTTATTGAGACAGTACCTTGAAAACCTTGAAATCCATGGATGACAGCTAGCACTTTAGGGGTTGAATGGTTAGTGCTGGCCTGCTTGTCTTTGCCTGAACCCTGGTGTTGGAAGGAAAAAATTTAATCGTGTTCACTAATAAACAAAGCGAGGTTATCAGAAAACATATTACGAAAAATAAAACCATGGTTATTGTAAATACCCTGATGCTCAGAACCAGAGAAGACACTTTCTCAAAGAAATTGATATGATTCTCTGTTTATGTTACATGTGACAGAGTACAGCGAAAATGGTGGTGACAAGCAAATTTACCCTACTATAATCCTATGAGCTACCTCTAGTAGTAGTGCAGTGTAAAATTTCTTAGGGTGGTTTGCTAAGAAGAAGGTACAAAATTGCTACATAAGCCCACCTTCCTACCGACCAAATCCGTCCTGACAAACAAGAAGACCAAATAAGTAAAGCAGAATCAGGCACATCTCCGGAGCCTGAAAAGGTACGTTTACCTTTGTATAACTGAACGATTGGTGGGCAACCTAGGAAACAGCAAATCATGCTGTGTATCTCTCATCAAATCAAACAAAGAAACCAAACTTCAGCCCTGTGGTGTCTTCACCGCTTGCGCTGTGTTTTTTTTACCCTGACAAATTTTCTACCAGACTTGTCACCACCACCTGCACCAAATGAGAAGCTTCCTCCAGCATTAAACTCCCGACTACCAGAAGCCTGAAAAGCTGGGTTCTGTGGCGCAGCCACACTTGGTTGGCTTTCAAATTGAAAGGGATTTGCACCTGATGAACCTGTCAAAGTAAACTGATTCCCTCCTGGCAGAGTAGAAAAATCAAATAAAGGGCCAGGGGCGGCAGCAGGTTGTTGGAAAAATGCAGGAACTGAAGGGGTGGTTGCCTGAACTGTGTCCTCTGCCATGCTGTCCTCCATGCTCATTTGGTCATTATTACCAGATGGAGATGAACCAGACCTGAAGCCAGGATTTGGGTTGCCAAACACAGGCTGTGATGGAGTAGTGGATGCAGGTGAACTGAAGGGGAAAGCAGGACCAGATGAGACACTGGGGGCAAATCCCACGGATGCACTGCTGCTTGTAACAGCATTAGAAGTTGCTCCAAAGGCAAACGGAGTCGAGGAAGAAGAGGATGTTGAAAATCCCATAGATTTTGGGGCCTGCCAGTTGGAACCAAAGACAGTAGATGCAGGGCTTGCAATGGAGCTAACAGAGATGGACTCTGAAGAGGTAGTAGAAGAGGTAAGTCCAAAAGAAGCACCAGAACTGAACAGTTTAGATGTAGAAGAAGAGCCAAATGTGGGACTGCCAGAAGAAAAGGCTGTACTCCCAGTCAAAGCAAAAGGAGTTGATGCAGGTGAACTAAATTGCATCGGCATGGTCTGTGTTGCAGTTCCCATTCCAGTTCCAGCAGCAGAAACCTGAGCACTGCTAGCACTAAAAGGATTAAAACCCTGAGATTGATTAGTAGCAGCTGAAGTTGAGCTCCCAGCATTCAAGCTAAAAGGACCACTTCCTGTGCTTGTAAAAGCAGAAGATATAGCATTCAAAACGCTGCTTCCTGAGCTCGTAACTGCAGGAAATGTACCACCAAAAAAACTATTTCCTTTGCTGGTAGCTGCAGGGGTCTTGCCACCTGTGCTTGTAATTCCAGAACATGTACCACCAAAAACACTGCCAACTCCACTAGCTGGGTTGCCAAAGCCTGGTTCTTTTGTTTTTGCTTCTGTTGTTTCATCAATAGTAGATGGCACTGTTGAGGCTGAAGTTGATGGGACAGACCCAATTTTGGAAATAGGTGTAGCCGTCAAGGAAGGTGCTGATGCTGAAATAGAGAAGTTGCTATTCCCGTCAAAGTTCGCCATTGTAACTGCGGTGGTAATGGCATTAATACTGCCGCTAGCAACACTGTTGGCAAAGACGCTGGATGAATTTTGACCAGTAAAGTTACTTGACAGTAGAGGTGGACTGGGAGAGGAATATGAAGATGGGGTAGAAGCAAGAGATCCATTATTTAGACTTGAACCATTGGAGGCGATGCCAAATGAGAACAGGCCTCCAGTAGATGAAGTTGAAGTTGAAGTAGAAGGCACATTTTCAGGTGCCCTGAAGGAACCCTCATCCTTCAAACTGCTCTTATCTTCAGTTTTATCCAGTCCAGGGTCTCTGGTCACCAACTCAGTAGCACCAGTAGCAACAGACTTAAAGCTGCACAATAGGCAAGTGAAAAAAGTTGATAGCCAATAAAAATAAAGATCAGGGATGTCATGAAGTTTCACAAGAAATGCAAATGAATGGTTGACATGATAAAGGGGAAAAAATGAGAACCAAACCCAATCAAGATAACATCAATTTGGTGAGCCTGGTTACAGCTAAGGTTGATTTTTTTACAAGTTACATCTATGGACCCACAATTTCATTTAGCATGACAGCATATATATTGACCTCACACTTTTCAGAAGTCATGACAACAAATACCATGCGAAAATACTAGCACATGTCCACTGACCTGAAACCCTCTGGTTTGGCATCTGATGATAGACCCAGCTTTGGGACAGATGGGTCACTCAGGACTGGGGAAGAAAATGCAAATGGTGCAACTTTATCACCAGTTTTATTGCTGAAATGGAATGTTTGGGAGGTGCCATTCGGTTCCTTTGGCAAAGCAACCTTCTCCCTGGAGCTAAATATTTGAGGGGAAGCATTCGAGTAGTTTGGTTGGGCACCTTCATCAGATATTGAAGCTAACTTCTGGTTTACTACAGCCTGCTTATCAGTCATGGCAGGCAATGGTGTCGCTAGAGATGTAAAGCTGATGCTCTTTTCAGCAATCACAGACCCATCAATCCCTGCATTTTTTTGGTTGAGTGTAGAAGTTGATGGGGACTTGACTTCAGAAAGAGCTGGAGACTTCTCCAATACAATAGCTTCAGCACCAATGGTTTTTCTTTCAACCAATTCAGAACCAATCTTTTCTCGCCCTTCAGCCAACATACCAGACACAGTCCAATTCGGGTAGTCATCATCATCATCAAGCTCCAGAAAATCCTATGAAAGTGAAATACAATTCAGAAGCAAGTTATGTAGAGCTCTGCACTTGAATGTCATGAATAATCAAATTTGCCAATACATGTATGAGATAAAGTTAACGTTGAATGGTGCAAAAATGATTGATGAAAAAAGAACTACTTTGATGAAAAAAAGATGATATGATTCCAGATGATGAATGAAGAAAATATAGAAGTGAGTAAGCTAAGGAGATGAGTAAGATCCAACTTAGGAGTAAATATCAAATATAACAAGATGAAACACGAACCTCATGTGCGCTCATCTGGAAAGCCCTTTTCTTCTGTTGAGGGGACTGGACAATGGTGCTCGTCACAGGAAAAGCTGTTGTTTTGACTCCAGCCACATTATTCTTCATTGAACTTGTGGCGCCCATACCATTTAACGCGGAGGCTGACTTGTCATAAGGAAGAATGGATTTGCTTGGACCATTTTCTTCAATTTTGTCTTTCATTTTAAACACAGACTCTCGTGCATCAGGTAGCAAGGTGTTGGGCTTAGCATCCAACTTGTTATTATCATTAACAATTTCTAGCAACTTTGAAGAATCAACATCCTCCAGGCTTCTAAGAGCTTGTCCCCGTAGCATGGATGGTGACAACCTGGCAGGAGACTTCTCCCTCGATGAGACCAACACATCAAGCTGCTGCAATATCTTTGATGCCATCTCACTGGACTTGGAGGGAACAGGGGTAAAAGCGGTACCATGGACATTGCTATTCCCATTATCCTTCAATGGTTCGCCCGCTAAAACTGGCTTCTCTGTTGAGGTTAGCCTTTGAGCAGCATTAGAAACCATACCATTTCCACGAATAGAAAGAGTACCAGACATAGGCAGAAGGTTAGATTTCTGACGAATTCTACGTATTGGACCGACAGATCCCATATCATTATCCAGGACAGAACTACTCCTCTTTGAAGCCTGAAAAAGAAATAAACTAATCCAGTTACATAATGCTCAATGGAATTCTAAAAGTCCCCGGACATGATTTCAATTGATTTCAGCACTTGTACCCCTTGTTTAGATCCAGAAAATCCGTTGTTCTCCCATGCATTCTGAAACGAAGATGATGGTCCAGCAAAAGCATCACTTGCTGTTCTTGTACCCTGGAAAATGAGAGAAAAATGTGTAAATAATCAAAATATAAATCACAATTTCAAACAGAAACAGATTTTCATATCATACCAACCTGGAGGCCAGTAGTTGCATGAACTCTGGAATACGGTGTTCGAGTCATACTGTATATAGCAAATCTACCTCGGGATCTTGGTGTCACAAAACCATTCTGAGGAAACTCAGCATGGCCAGAAGAACGCGGTGCAATTGAAATCATTGGTGATTTCGGAGTAAATGTATGGTTGGTCAGAACTGTTGGATTTTCCCTTAATGCCTGACTCTGTGATTCTAGCATTGATGGTGAAACTTTTAAGGGCCTACTACGCATGTAAGATTTTGCAAGCTCTGTGGGGGAACCAAAATCCTCCTCAAGGACCTGGAGACATTATAGCCACTAAATGTGAAACACGTCTAGGTTTGCATATGCACATAAATGCATGAATTCACACATCGTATTGTTGCCCACCCTTATATTCTCCATTAAACAAGAGAATCACGCCAACCCACATTTCTATGTGAAACAAGAGCCGTGGTGCAAAGCCACTAAGTTTGAAAAAAGAGCCACAAAGCAAAGCCATGGAACTATGGGCATGTGCGGGTGTGCATATAACACACAAATGCATGTGTGCACACGTGAGCAGAAAAAAGTAAGATGAAGCATGTTAAATTCCCCTACACTTGAGCTGACAATAGGTGTTGAATTAAAGCGACCATCAAACCCATTATTAACAGGGGTAGTCAATAACTCCTTTTTGCCTTGAGAGACCATAACTTTTGAAGCAATCACTTCAGATTTCTTCTCTTCATTTCCAGTAGGAAAATCAACAGTCTTAGATTGCAGCAGGGCTGTCAATCGATCAATTTCAGACCTGTGGGAAAATTAAAAAAGAAAAATTTATGTCTTGCATCACCACATCATCCTTCTAAACAATTGTTATCCTCGGTAATGTTATTACAAAAAATATGAAAAGAAAATTCCTTGTAATAGATTTTAACATACAGAATGACTGAGGAATTATGATAATACAAAAAAATATAAAGGTGAAGAAAGCTTCCACCAAGCATGCTGTGGAAGTTACAATACATACATTCAACTAATTTGAAGCTGCTAGAATTTGATCCTAACTTGCCTGGTAAAAGTCTTCTGCTTTAGAATTACTTCAAGTTCAGTAACCCCGTCCATATCAGAACCATCACTTGGACCACTGCATCCATTGGTGGTTGCTCTATGTGTTTCAAAAAGATCCTTCTAGGAGAATTTTTCAAACAGCACAAACATATGAATCAAATTTGCATTGGGTAAATCATATTGTACATATATATGAACCACGAGTGCAAACATATGTAGATATTGCAAATTCATCCATGAAAATAGATGAAAATGAAGTTTTCATAACCCATAGTAGAGCATATACATTTAATTTACTCTTTGATCCATTAGAAAATTTCTAGATAACTGATTCTACATTCATAAGGAAAGAAAAGGAATGCACAATTAACCACGCCCATTTCTCCCCCGTTGCTCATCTCTTTAGAGTGTGTTTGGTATTGTGGTAACTATTATGGTTATGGTTTGAAAAAAATTGTTTTATAAAAAGTATTTTTAGTTGAGGTTGGTTTGAAAAAATAGGTGGTTGGTTAAAACTGTGGTTGAAATTGAGGTTATAAAATAATTTTAAAATATATATTAATATTGATGGTTTTAAATTTAAATATTGTAGAATTAACTACTCCTATTATATCATAAAATAAATAATACTTGATATAAAATATTTTTTATTATTCCATTAAACTATTTATAATTCCATTACACACAAAATTCAACCGATAAGAACTACAGTTTTCATAATTTTATGAGCGTGTAATAAAATCAGATAAAATATTATCAGATATAAAATTGATATTACAGTGCGAGTGAATTTAATTTACTCTATACTAGTTTTTCAAGAAAAAAAATATTGTTCATATCACAATGCAAGTGAATTTAATTCACTCTAAACTAATTTAAAAAAAAAAAAAAACTGTTAAAAAAATTAACACACTAAAAAAAATGCACGTGAACAGTGCAATTCACTGAACAGTGTGTTTCACAAGTTGAAACTCGTAAAAAAGCAATATTTTACTGCTTCTAAAAAATCATGGTCCTGCCGCATATAAATGGCGGGACCCATGTGTTTTGATTATTTAACCATTTGCAACCAAACGGCCATTTCATGCGTTTTTTGAAGAAACGCGAACGCTAACGCATAGCCAAACAGGCTCTAATCCTGCAAATTTCATGCCTAGTAATATTGTGTACCTGAAACGGTAACGGTAATTGAAAAAAGATACAGCAAGTTTACCTTTTTTAACTAGTTAAAGTCTCAAAGTGCACTACATCAGTTACAAGAATCCCCTTGATCCCTTGCGTCAGCACACACCCACACACACATATATAAGGCAGAGCAGCAAAGGCATCCATAACATGCAATAAGCTTGTAATAAATTTATATCTACTGTATAATGAAAAGGCAGGCATGTATTCTCTCTTCATAGCTATTTCTGCGACCACCAACCTGGCCAGGATTATCAACCAATAGGGAAATCTATAATAACCACTGAACTTCGAGATTTGAACTTATTCCCTTGACTAGCAATAGACATTCTTCCCAAACCCTCACTTCCAACAACACAACCCAAAGCCATTGATAATAAAAATTAATTGTATGACTGATTAACAATCAATAGAAGGAAAAACCGAAAAGAAGCAAAGAAAAAGACAAGAAATCAGACTTACTGTGGAAAAGGCTCCTTTTCGCTTATCCATTACTCCCCGGTTTTCCTCTGTTTAAAAAAACAAAAATTAAAACAAATTCTCTCCTTTAACAGACGTTAACTACAAATTTCAATTCACTAACTAAAGTACAGTTAAGTAAGGTTAAACATCATCAACAAAAAAAATCCACTCTAACAAACAAACCCCGACCCAGTAGAGAAACCCTAATTTTCAGTTCTACTGGTCCAAAATCCCTAATTCCCAAATTTCACCATATCAAAAACTTAATTACACCAATTCCACAAAAAGAATCGAACGAACAGACAATAAATCTCCCCTAATTGAACTAGTAAGCACTTAACTCCTCAGGAGAAAACAATAACAAAAGGAGAGCATCAATTTTTCAACAAAAAGAGGACATTTTCGCACTGGGAAGAAACACAACCTGTCCCCCACTCCGTTTCCGGCGGCTGAGACGGAGGAGCCACCACCGGAGGCGCAGGCAGTCGTTTACGAAAGACAGTAGCGAAAAGCCTTTGGGCACCAGAAGCAATGAGTCTCTGAGCCGGATCCACTAATTTCGACAACCAACCATTACCACTCCCACTAGGGTTTCGGATAGCCTTCGCAGGACGATCATACGGCGTCGTTTGCGTACTCCTTCGAAACGGCCTTTTTGAAAATTTCCCATAACCTCCTCCGTCTTCATACGGCCTCTCATTTCTTTCCCGGGTCACCGCCGCCATATGAAAACCAAGAAATTAGGGTTACGGTGTAGAGAGAGACAACAAGAGAGCGTGTGTTTTATTGTAGAAAGAGAATAAAAAAAGGAGCTAAAATGATATAATTAGGATTTTATTTATTTGTTGAAAAGGTAGAGAGGCAAACAAATATCCCTGTGTTTATATACACAGTGAAGCTCACGGTCATTTTGTGATGGTATTTTACTACTTTAGGCCAACTACTCAAAGAAGTTATCAAACCGGTCCAGGGCTGATCAATAATATAATTTTAAAACTCAAATCGAGGAAATGAAACCGAACTAACCTATAAAAAAATTAAAATAAAATAATATTATTTTAATTTAAAAAAATAGTTTTTTTACTGAATTTTAATCTATTTTATTCATATTATTTGGTATACAGACCTTTTACTAACTCAACCTAAGTTAATTTCCTTTTTTTCATTTAACAAGGATCATTCTAAATCTTGAATTATCTAGATGTCAAGTCAATTTGTTGAGTCGATGTTAGTTTTATTATTAGGCTAGGGACTTGGCTCAAGCTAGATTTGATTTTAATTTGCATTGATGGTTGATTTAATTAAACTTGAGTGAATTGTGTTTATTTATTTTTGTATTTTAAAAGTATTTTAAAAAAAAATAAAAAAAATTATTTACTCCAAATTAATATATTTTAAATAATTTTAAATTATTTTGATGTATTAGTATCAAAAATATTTAAAAAAAATCATTAACATATATACTGATACAAAAAATTATTTGAAAAGCAATTTCAGTTGCACTACCAAGCAAGCTTAAATCAAAACTTAAGTAGGACATGATCATTGTTATTTTTTATTTTTATAAAAAACAATGACATTTAAAAAATATATATATCATTTAAAAGAATATATATAGATTAATTTGTCCATTTAAAGTTGAGTCATCCAATTCATGACCCAAATCACGTGTCATAAAAAATAAATAAAATATTTTTGAAAAATGTCATGTGATAAATAAAATATTTTTTGGTGTGTTTTTATAATAATATTCACATATTTATGATGTTTTCAAGAGGTATGGTGGTTATTTGTTTTTGAAAATATTTTTAGTTTGGGAATGTATTAAAATATATTTTTTAAAAAAAATATTTTTTCATATCAATGCAATAAAAACAATATGAAAAATACCAAAGTAAAATTAATTTGAATCAAATAAAAAAAGAATTATTTTTTTAAAAACATTTTTGAAATGCAAAAACAAGCGAACTCGCAAAAAAAATTAAAGATATACAAATTTGAAAGAAAAAACCCCAAGGAATATGCAATTTAATGAAAAAATAAAAATAATCCCATATGAAATAAATATCAATAAAAAAACTAAATTTTAAATAATAAAAAAATCACAATAGTGAAATTAAAAACATTTGTAAAACCTAAGCAAACCTGAATAAAACATCCTAAATTGGTCAAATTTTTAAAAACTCATAACTCATAAAATCTTATATTTGGGTCTTATCAAAAAATTTATCACAAGTCAATTTAAAAATAAAAATTTTAAAAACTTATTAACGCAAATAAAAGATAACAAAAAAAGCCTCAAGCAAGCTCAATAACCAACTCGAGTCAATAAATCAAACACATGACATAAGACATGAATTTAGAATAATCTTATAAATAGAAAAGGGAGAAAAAATATCGATGAAAAAAATTTAAAATAAAATAGTTTAAGAAAAGACGGAAGTCAACTCGGGCTAATCCTTTGGGTTTATTACTAGGGTTAGGAGACCGAGGTAATTACATTAAAAGTAAACCCAAAAAAACAAAGAAATAAGCTTCTTAACCAAGCATGTAACGAGGGACGAGGTTAATAAAAAAAATCAATAAAACAAACAATATCAAACAAAAAAAAACCAATTAAAAGAATTATGACTAGGCTCGGGATGAAAATTAAATGTTTATAGAAAATCAAATGAAATTAAAATTTTAAGAATGGAGTTGTAAAAATAAATTCATTAAAAAAATAATTAAAAATATAGCAATTAAAAAAATTAAGGTCAAGTTTGACGTAAAAAATAAATGAAAATAAATGTCTAATGATATAATTAAAATAAAAACAAATCAATCAAGAAAATGATTAAAAAACAAAGCAAATAGCAATTAAAAAAACAATGATTAAATTTGTCAACAAATTAAAAGAACAAAATATTTAAGGATGAAATCAAAAATAAATTTTAATTAGAAACATTCAATGTAAATAAAACAATTTCAAATAAAAAAAACTAAATAAAAAAATTAAAAATGAAAAGCTGATATAATTTTTTACATTACCAACATGTAATCTAATGAAGAAAAAAACAGAGAAAAGAAAAACAATTTTAGGCTAAATCACCATATGCACATCACTTAAAAAGAAAAAGGATATCGAAATGAATTAAATGATATTGCAGAATTATAATTACAATCATCAAAGCTAATCGCATGTGTTGTTAAAAGACTATGGATATATTAATAACTCTTTTATTTTTATATTTTACTTATATAAAACCAAAAATGTCTTTAAAACTAAATAATGATAATAAACAAACAATTTAAAAATTACAATCAAGCCCCTGAGTGAAGAATAACAAATTTGAATGATAAGGGTAATGTGACAATTTTATAGTTTTTATCATATATGAAAATATAAAAATGGTTCTGTGCATAAGAAATTGAATTATTTTATTGAAGAGTTATATTAATAATTTTATCGTGTATTAAATTAAAAAATACAGTTATTAAAATAACCACATATAACTTTTAAAAAACATTTATATAATGGTAAAAAAATCATCTCACCTTCAAAACTAAGATAAGAAATAAAATACGACAATACAATAATTATAATAATGAATAATAATCTATATTTTGGAACAAAATAGTATCACTGGGGGGTTAATTTTTTTTTTTTGAACAATGCTACTATAATCAAGGAGGTAGTGAAGAGGTGCAATTTGAAAGTGTATGCACACTGGAATAATATTCGGAATATATTTTATAATTGAGTTATTAAGTAAAAAACTAGCATTGTTTGAAAATCAAACTTGTTCAGTGTAATTCTTTATGATTATTTTTTAAATATTTTTTTATATTAAAATATATATTAATAATATTTTTTTTTATTTTTAAAAAAATATTTTAATATTAACCCATCAAAATAATTTTAAAACACTAAAAAAAATATTAATTCTGAGTAAATAAAAAATAAAAAAATTTAATTTTTTTTAAAATACTTTTAAAATACATTAACAAGCAGGCAAGCCAACCTTTAAATCAGTTTAAACATGTTAATTCAAATTATATTAAATTAATTTAAAATGGTATTATTTTAATTTTTTTTAAAATAAAATATGAATTTTAAATAAATATTTTTTAAAATGAAATCAAGTTTTAATTAAATCTTCTAAATAACTTCCACCCATTATTATTTTTTAAACCTTGAACAGGCCTAGACAGGCTAATAACATTGCCCTTGAAAAGGTAATTTTGACACTAGGAATGGAAGAATCATAATGAAAGATAAAAATTAAAATGGCATTTTAATTTCGTGTTTGGAATACTAATTAAGAACCAAAATGAAATTAAAAATTAATATCTATGTTTTATGATAAACAAAAAAATAACAATTGAAAAAATAGCCTCTTCAATAAGAGTGAAAATGGTAGTAAGCTAAAATCTAAGCTGGCATATTGATTCAAGTTAATAATTTTTCTAAAAAGAAGGTCAAATCTACGTTGAAAAATCAACAATTTTGCCTAGATCAAACTAGTCAGATTGACTTCTAAAACCCATAAAGAAAGAAATTAATGCATTTCTAAGGACACCAAAATGTTTTGCCAGCATATCTGAGTTCTGGAGACGTAACCACAAGGAGCATACAAGGTTTCTTTCTACCTTAAAACTATTATAAAGATTGTAAGGTAGATACCAACCAAAATGGAGAACTCAAATGAACTATGAGTGTACAGAGTGAGGCCTGCCTGCTTCTCATAGCGGAGCAGCTAATGCTCTTTACTGTACAACCTTAGTCCCTCAAAAGAACGAACAAAGAATTAAACAGAACCTCGCCACTGCCTCTGCAACTATAGCTTGAGGGCTTCTCTAAAATTAATGCTGAAACTATGCTCCAGGCCCTTCCTAGCAGGACTTGCTACATTTCCTTTCTGCATCATGGCCACAAATTCATTGTAATCTATGCGTCCATCCTGCAAAATTTACAAGCCATCGATGTTTAAGCTCAGCATGCAATACAGTTTGGAAAATAGACATCATAGAATACATTTATATGCGACATATATGCAGTATAAGATGCAACGCAGGAGCATCTTTGTCACAAAATCCAAATAGCATATCCGCTCTGCCATTTGAAATGTCTCCAAACCAAGAAAGAAAACTAATCCGAGTGGATTTCAAGTTCTTGACATGAGCGGACCAAGTTGGATTCACATTAAGTTTATATAGGACCACGAATGCCTCTGCAAATCAATCCTCACCGATCCAGCAACCTACAGACGTTGCAATCACGCATTCACCAATGAGGTCTTTCACCCCTTTCCATCATTTTTCTTGTCAACATCTCTTTCCATCCTTAGTTCAGTTCAAATGGAATATTATAAAAGTGATAAAAAGATTCTTACGTTGTCCTGATCAACTTCTCTGATCATTTCTTCCAAGCGAACATCCTCCCATCCAAACTCCTCGCAAGCTTGTTGAAGTTCATCTGGAGTAATGTAGCCACTTCCATCCTTGTCAAAGTATGAGAAAGCTGCAAATAGATGGTCCTCTCTCTCAATTTTGTTTAGATGAAGTGTTGCAGCAATGAACTCTCCATAGTCAATTGTGCCACTATTGTCTACATCAGCCTGCAATTTAAGAATACACCATAGATTAAATAGTTTTAGAATGTAAAATATCTTCCATCCTTCAGAAATTTGTGCGATTCACAATAATAATCTAACTCTTCTACAAACAATGAAGTACACCAAATCTAGACCTAAATCATGTGAAAGGGATGAAATAATTTATAGCAGTATTTTTTCCTTTTCTCGGGTTGACAGTATAAAGTTCGTAGTTATTATCCTGAAAAACTTCAA